AGTCCAAAAGAGAGGAGGGCTTACTTACTTCTTTTGCTTTTTGCCTTCCCCCCCCCTCAATATTCCTCCCCCCCCCATTTAGCTGCTCTTTCCTCAGTGGTGGGTTGCCCCCGGTTCACATCAGTTCTATAGAACCGGGTGTAAAACCGGTGGGAGGCTCCGCCCACCAACCCGATGTCATCAGAACGCTTCGCGCAAGCATGGCCCCATTGCAAACCGGTAGTAAAGGTAAGTAGAACCCACCCCTGCACACTACCCATTCTCCTGCAGTGGGTGTGGGAGAAATACTTTTTGCTTTTGTCCCAGTAAATGAGTGTGAATGAGATTATGAGCAGAAATAAGTCTGTTAGCCTTTTGGAAGTAGGATCTACTTCTCACGCCTCCTGCTATTTTTCCAGTTGGATGCAGCCATCTCATCACGTTTACACAGGGATCATCGCTTGCTTTGAAAAGTACCTTTTGATGGGCCTCCTCAGAAAGCTTCATTCTGATGGTTTCCCATATGGGTGTATAAACTGAAATCCTCCAGAACAAACTTCTGCCTTAAAACGTACTTTGAATGAGTCTTGTGCTCTGTATCCTTCAAATACCGTATTTTTTGGAGTATAAGATGCAGTGGAGTATAAGGCGCAGCTTAGTTTTTGGGGGGGAAAAGGGGGGGGGGGGAAATCTACCTACCAGGTATTCACCTGGCTAGCATCCTTAGTCTGGTCAGCTTCAGCACATTAATTTGTTGGTTTTTATCTCCTGCTTGGGGATAAAAAACAGATTCTAAAGCACAACCAATCTTTGGAGAGAGAAGCAATGAGAAAAGCAGGCAAACCACGGAGATCCCTTCACTCGCTAGCACCTCATTAGGGCTGAAAAAAAAGCTTCGAAAAAGCTACATTCGGAGTATAAGACGCACCCAAATTTTCAGCCTTTTTTAGGCAGGAAAAAAGTGTGTCTTATACACCAAAAAATACAGTATGTCCATCCCTATTTTAGAGTTTTTTAAAATCCCACTTTTATTATTTTTATAAATTACTCAAGGCAGTGAATGTACAGTAACGAATACTTCTTCTTCCCCCTATTTCCTCTGCCCCCCTCACAACAACCCTGTGAGGTGAGTTGGGCTGTGTGAGTGATTGGCCCAGAGTCAGATAGCTGGATGTCATCTCTAGAACTCACAGTCACCTAGCTTTTAGCATGATGCTTTAACCAGGAGACTAAACTGGCTTTGTATGCAAATTTATGGCACAAGTTATGGAGGGGAGTATAGGTATTTGTGTACACACACACAAATGTGTGTTATGTGCTTTTCACATAACATTACAGCTAATACGATAATGACTATGAAATATATCAGAAGGGTGCAGGGGAAAATGTTTTGGTAGAATAAAAAGCATGGGTTTCTCCAGAGCAGCTCTTCCAGATATACATTAAAAACATGCATTTTTATTCAAAAACTGATTGTCACCAACTATCCCCACCCACTTTATTTAATAACTTTGTTTTTAAGGTATTTACTGAAAATCAGGATTTCTTCAGGTGGGGGAAGAAAACTCAACAGAAGACATCATGCTTGTTTGAAGCTGTAGCTTATGCACCTCCTTGGATCGCAAGAAATGCCGTTCGCCTCCTTCCACTCAAGATTACACCTCCTGAAAGCACTTTGTAAAGAAATAAACAAAGTTGGATGGGGAGGGCAACATTCACCGAATCCTGGGATATAGAAGAAACGTGCATACCTCCTTAATGCTGCAATTACATTTCGCATTTGGCATTCCCAGGGGAAATGTTCTCCTTGGATGAGGTGCACATTTTGCTGTGGGGAGATTAGTCAGCAGCCACTGTTAATTATGCAGGAGAACAAAATGCTACTGGTGGAAAATATGTATGTTTCCAGGAACACATGTTGGTTTTAATGCAATCTGACAAGCAGCAGAGGAAAAAAGAGGAAGAAGCCAAAAGTGGGAATTGTATCAAGACAACCTTAACCAGCGGATGTAAAAGATGATTTTGGGTTATGCAACAAGTGATGCTCATTAAGTTATTCCTTGGACTTAAGGTTTTTAATAGCCAAGAGCTTTGAGGCATCAGTTATTGCATTTCTAGCTCATCCTCGTCCTTCTTTACAATTAGTGTAATTTACATCCTAGATCGAAAAGTGTGTGTGTGTGGGGGGGGGGAGGCTGAACTTGAATTCAGAATGGTGAATATGCAGGGATTTTTTTTTTTATTTTTTTATTATTTTTATTTTTAAAAACCAAGGAAGACCTGCTCTCCAGGTCTTCCTTGGTTTTATTCAGCAATGCTACCTGAGTGATTCCAGGAAATTGTTGGGCAAGACTATATTAGTTTGTCTAGCACAGGGGTCAGCAACCTGCGGCTCTGGAGCCTCATATGGCTCTTTCATCCCTCTGCTGTAGCTCCCTGTCATTCAAAATATGTGAATGTGTGTGACACCCGCCAGCACGTGATTTATTGAGCTTTTCAAGCCCCAGTAGGCCAACCAAGGATAAATCCAAGAAAAATTTCAGAAGAAAACAGAACATTTAATTCAACTACATATGCTAGTTTTGTGGCCACTCAAGAAATAGTCAGGCAAGGGAGGGGTTTTGTGGCTCCCAGTGTTTTCTTTTCTGTGGGAAATAGGTCCAAATGGCTCTTTGAGTATTTAAGGTTGCAGACCCCTGGTCTAGCATATCCTTAAAGGCAATGTGTTATTCAGCTGGTTAAATCTGGTTCGGGCGAACCAGTAGCTGCGGCTGCGGGAAGCTCCGCCCACCTGCCTGGATGCCATCATGTCCCATTTTTTACACTCTGCGCATGCATGGAAGGCCCTGTGCATGTGCGCGCATGCTCACATTTGTGAACTGGTAGCGAAGGTAAGCGAATACCACCCCTGCTTAAAGAGAGAGAGAATCATGAGCATGGAATGGCAGAAAAAAGTTTGGATGAGACAGAGGTGTGAACTAATCTACATTTAGCTCTTTCTTTCTTTGTTTGTCAGAATAGATTTAATTCACCCTTCCAGATCCTGATGCTTTCCAGATTATTTGTTAGGCATGAAGAATCGGGACCACACATTAAGTTCTGGTTAAGAACTGGAACGACCTGCCCCCAGAGATACGCACGATACCAGACCTCCGGACTTTTCGTCGGGCCCTGAAAACACATCTTTTTCACCTAGCCGGGCTGGCTTGATCCCATCCCTTCAATTTTAATTTGTAATTGGTTTTAACCCGGGTTGTTTTAATTGGATAGCCAAATTATTTAATGTTTTTAAATTGCTTTTAAATTTTATATGTTATGTTTTACCATGGCTGTTCACTGCCCTGAGTCCTGTTGGAGAAGGGCGGTATACAAATAAAATAAAATAAAATAAAATAATAAAATAAAATAAAATAAAATAAAATAAAATAAAATAAAATAAAATAAATAAATAAATAAATAAATCAATAAATAAGATGATTTATTGCTCATGCCTATATGTAAGAATCTAGTTAACAAACAGCATTAAATTGGTGCTAGATAAGAATCAGTTAAAAAGGGGTTGGACTTAGACCTCTTGGGAATGTAGGAATGTGGGAATGTAACAACTCTAGGCTGATTACTCTTTTGACTCTTCCCCCAGTGTCTGTCTGCTCTTCTCCTACATCATTTGAGATAGCAGAATTCCCAGCCAGCATGGGGTTTATGCCTTCTGGGGGTGCACTGCTAACACATTTTACCACGTAGTGGGGGCTGTTTAAAAAATGAAGAATATTTAACATCGCATATTAGCTGATGAAAGTTATTTCTTTTCCAATCACTCAAATGGATTTATTCTGAGAGACAGAGAAAACATTCCCCGATTGCTATTTTAAAAATAATGTTCCTGCCTTTGTGAAAGCAACTACAAGAGCTTCTCCACCCCTAGTCTAATTATATAGTGTTTGAGATATCTTTGGTAGGAACTTCTGTTTCTTAAAAAGTACTAATTTACCCATCATGTCTACCTATGTAGACAAAGTAGGTTGCAAGCAAGTACCAAGCACTGAGATGTAGTCAATGCAGCCTCCTGGAATTTACAATGGCTTTGTTTGCTCCAGCAACAAGGTTTGGAACCAACGCCAAGCCATCCCCTGGTCAGTCTAAGTAGGTTTAACCCCCAAATATGTACTCATTTGGGGGGGGGAAATCAAGTTAGATGTAGCTGTGATCAGTCATGACCAATTGCCATTTATTCCTGGGGGAAGGGTGGACACTTTTGCCACTTTTCTCCTGGCTGATCATAGTTCCTACATGGAAGACTTTCATGGAGAAAGTTCCCACGTATTTTTTTTTCTCTTGTAATTTAATTGACATATGGGAAATCCAGACGTTATAGGGACTGCTCAACAGAGGACTGTATAATAAAAGTGAAGTTAATCTCATCACCCTCCTAGCCTCTTGTAATTGAGATAAGAACTGTAGGGTCCAGAGGTGGGTTTCAGCAGGTTCTGACCAGTTCTGAAGGACTGGTAGTGGAAATTTTGAGTAGTTTGGAGAATCGGTAGTAAAAATTTTGACTGGCCCCGCTCCCATCTATTCTCTGCCTCCCAAGTCCCAGCTGATTGGGAGGAAATGGGGATTTTGTAGTATCCTTCCCCTGGAGTGGGGTGGGAATGGAGATTTTACAGTATCCTTCTCCTGCCATGCCCACCAAGCCACACCCACCAAGCCATGCCACGCCCACCAAGCCACACCCACAGGACCGGTAGTAAAAAGTTTTGAAACCCACCACAGGTATGGTCCTATGAGAATTTTAGTACAATTCTAAAACATTTACTTGTCCATCAGTTTGATTGTAGATGGTCAAAAAAAGTCACCACTGATACAACTGTGTGCCCTGAAAACAGGGTCCCCCAAAGTGATAAATATCAATCCACACAAGTCAATGGAACTATCCAAGGGTCTTTTATTAATAGTATTCTTATTATTCATAGTACTATTAGTTGAACTAGTATTTATTACATTATTTTCATATAATGAATGTTTGGGGTTGATGAATCATCTAAAACCTTATGATCTGCTGAAGACTTCGGAGACCTCTGCCTTAAAAAAAAAAGGAATCATATTCAGTTATGCATTACACTAGCCAACAATTTAGAAATGTTTTTTTATTTTTTCTTCTATATATATAGTAGAATTGGTGATGAGAAAAGCTCCAGATGTGCTCCAAGATTTGCTTTCTAATAATGTTTTAACTCTTAGAATGGCAACTTCTTATATAGGTAGTCCTTGGATTATGACAGCATTCGAGACTGGGATGTCCATTATTAAGGGATGCAGTTGTAAAGTACAACATCACACAACTACATTGCTTAGTAACTGAAATGCCAGCAGTCCCAGTTGTCATTGTAAAACCCTGAGATCAACATGGGTCATTAAGTGATAGTCTCACATGACCACAGTGATGGGTTGCCCCCGGTTCAGACCGGTTTGCAAGAACCGGTAGTAAAACTGGTGGGAGGCTCCGCCCACTGACCCGGATGTCATTAGAAGTTATCTGCGCATGCGGGCATGATGCGAACCAGTAGTAAAGGTAAGTAGAACCCACCCCTGCATGACCACTACCTGGGAAGAAAAAAGAGTCCCAGGCAAGCAGAGTAGTGGGTGAGGGCTATGGGCCAGGGGGCAGTTGCTGTGGGTTGGCCCTAGGGAGCTACCTCAAACAGCATGCCATAGCAAGCCCTATACAGGCCAGCTGCAAGCCCTGTGACACCGTTAATCCCTAGGCCTCAGCAAGCCCCATATTGCCTCAAGCTCCATGTTCCCTAGTGCCTTCCTGCAGCACCATTTCCCCGCCCATAGTTCTCACTCACTGGCTTTCCTGAGATTTCTGCTTCTTCTGAGGTAAAGAAAATGATAAAGAAGATCACTGGAAGGGACAGTAGGGTTTGTGTGTGTGTGTGTGTGTGTGTGTGTGTGTGTGTGTGTGGCAAGAGGGGTGTTGTAAATGTGGGCCAGCCAGTGGTGGGGTTCAAATAATTTAACAATCAGTTTCCCCAGGGTCTGGTTGGCTGTCATGGGAGGCATAGCCCATCCCCGTCCTCAAGTTCCAATGCACATGCGGGACGAGCCTCCTGCAATGGCCAACCTGACCCTGGGTGAACCGGTTGTTAAATTACACCCCCCCTCCCGTGCTATTAAAGTGGATCATGAGCACTGCACTACAATGGAGAAATGGCAAATAGAGCAACTGGCATGAGGGAAGGAGGAGGAGCAGGGAGAAGAAAGTGGGAGTGCGGCCTTCTCCTTTCCTTGTGCCAGCTGCTCCGTTGCCCGTTTCTCCAGTGCAGTGCAGTGCAGCACCTAGGATCCACTTTGATAGTGGGGGGGCGGTGGAATTTAACCACTGGTTCGCCCAAACTGGTGCAAACCGGCTGAATCCCACCACTGGGGCCAGACCAATTTTTTTGTCATGTGACTATGGGGGCACGGTGACAGTTGGAACTCTAAGGAGCAGTTGGAAGTTTAAAAAAAAAATTCCCCTGGTTTTTAACATCAGACCAAACCTCCCTCCTCATAAAATCTCACCAAGAAAGAGAGGTGGAAAAATCTTGCCCTGCTTGATCAGACCAGTTTTGATTTTATTGTTTCACTTGACAGATTGATCTATGGGATATAAAAGCAAAAAAAGTTAGAACAGGGCCAGAGAATAATAAAGAATGAGACAAAACAAACGCAGAAGGGTAATGCCATGTATGGCTCGCTATAAAACATTATTAATTTATGGATGTAAAAGATTCCGTGCTAAAATGCAGTGGTCCCTCTCAAGTTTACAAGTTTGTTATGGATTGATTTATTCATGAAATGCTTTGTTTCTATGACAACTTGGTTTGCCTGTGGTCTAAATACATATGGGCATGGCAGGAATTCTTGAGTACAAAACAAATTACACACCACCATCACTACCTGAATAGTTTTGTGCCTTTAGGGATTCGGCAGAAACAGTCTGAAGGATAGAAATCACCATATGGGTGCCATGCTTAGGAAGATTGCCTGATAAAGAATGTCTCTCTCTCCCTCCCTCCCTCCCTCCCTCTCTCTGTATCTGTATGTGTATATGAAACCTACAGTGTAAAAAGAAAAGATGGAAATGAGAGAAGAGAAGGAGACTTATGCAAAGATAAAAGGAATGCCAGCTGTAGTTGCAGACATCCTAACGTACTGGAGAAAAAGCCACAGATCAAAGGACAGTCTTTTCTGCCATAAATAATAGCCCTTACAGGAGGTCATTAATATTCATAACGGTAGTATAGCTAAAAAGAAATGGGGAGAAACATAGTTTAGTGAGAAGCTGGTGAGGTCTGTTGGGGGCGGGGGGGGGGGGGGGGGGGGGGAGGAGAGAAGGCAGAATAAAAGCAGAAGTATTAAGCAGTAAAAGGATACCGAGGCTCCCAGGGAAGGGTTGGTGAGAGAGCGGCAAAGCAAACCACAACAAAAGATCAGAGAGCAAAAGTCAATAAAAATACCCAATGAGAAAAAAAACCAACTTCTGTAAGAATTGGGGATGGCAGGCAATGCATGAGAAGGAGGGTAAAAAGCAGGGAAGGACAAATGTGTGGAAAAGAAAAGTGAAGCCTGAAGGAAAGGGAGCAGGGATAGAAATGGTTTTAGGGACATATCAGAGAGCTGTTTTCAAATTCAACTCACATGTGTTTTGCCCCAAAATTGTTTACGGCAGGAATGCAAACTGATGCTTTTCAGATTTTTCACAGTACAATTCTTATATTTTCTGGCCGGTGCTACTAGGCATAAACGAGAGTTAAAATTAAAAAAAAAAAAAGGTGAACATACCAGTAATAAATTTGGGTTGCTCCATTCTTCCATTCCTTTATTTCAGAAAATATCTACAAATGTATAGATATCAATGATCTAGAGATTGATTTAATTTATACAAAGGCACAAAAAGAACGTCTCACTCTTCTACACTAGACGGGTAGTTCTTGACTTACGACCATTCAATTAGTCAAAGTCACAATGTTGTTGGAAAAAGTGATTAATGATTGGTCCTCACATTTATGACCATTGCAGTGTCCCCCATGGTCACGTGATCAAAATCCTGGCCCTTGGCAATTGGCATTTATTATGACAATTGCAGCAATTTAGGGTCATATGATCACCATTTGCAATCTTCCCAGCCAGCAAACAAAGTCAATGGGGAACTTTTAATGATAATGCAACTCCATTAACTACTGTGGGGATTTGTTTAATCAACGCAGCAAAAAAAAAATGGACGCAGCTCACTTAACAACAGCTTCACTTAGCAAGGGAAGTTCTAGTCCCCGCTGTGGTTGCGAGGAGGATTGCCTGTACTCAGTAGAATAGGAATAGGCAACCTCTTACCCTACAAAAATGATAGTTTCCACAATCTTTGACTCTTGGCTAGTTTAGCTGGACCTCTAATGAGCTATCTAAGAAATAGATCACATGAGATATTTAATCCTCTTTATTTGCATCAGTTCTAATCTAGTTTTTCAGAGCTGTCCAGAGCAGTGGTAGAATTCAATTTTTTTTTACTACCAGTTCTGTGGGCGTGGCTTGGTGGGCATGGTGTGGCTTGGTGGGCATGGCAGGGGAAGGATACTGCAAAATTTCCATTCCCACCCCACTCTGGGGCCAGCCAGAGGTGGTATTTGACGGTTCTCCGAACTGCTCAAAATTTCCGCTACCGGTTCTCCAGAACTTGTCAGAACCTGCTGGATTTCACCCCTGGTCCAGAGTACTACAAAACTGTTATCTGATGACTTGATACATTTCCAACTGGCGTTGCCACTTGTGCTGGCCGATATCCCTACTTTCAAATCACCAGTGCACAATGTTCCCGTTTATGAACTAAGTAAATGTTATGTAGATTGCACAGCATGCTGTTATGTCTATTTAAAAAAAAAAAAAAATTCTGGCAGCAGAGTTCAATTTTCATCAGGGCCATAGTACAACCTTCCTTTCCCAGCTGACATCCCAACAAACAAATGACTTAGTATATGTAACCATAAAACCTCCACAAATAAGAGATTTTCTCTTTCAGTAATTCACATGGGAATCCTGGCTAAAAAGTGGAGAATTGTATTTTATTTCATCATGTCAAATCCTGCTGGAAACTGGGTTTCCCTGCCCACAGGGATTTAAAAAAAGAAACTCCTGCAGGGCACACTCAGTATTATACTGTGTATGTACATCTAGATTTTCTTAGACTTCAAGAATCTTAGCTTACCTTGGAGCCAAAACTGTTCATCAGTCACTAGACCTCCATCAGTTAAAACCAGAGGTTAAATTCTTCACTGGGCCCATGGATTCAAATTTTTGTTCCTGCTGATTAGAATTTTTTTTAAAAAAATAGTCTTCTTTGTTATCACATTATGGATCCTTCTAAACAAGAATGGATAGATAGAGAATGTGAATCTAACTTCCAGTACAATAACTCCAAGATGATGCAAAAACGGGGACTCATACAACTGCAAAGCGTTCCTCAGTGTGGTTCGAGACAAAAAATAACTAATGAAATAAATACTCTCCAAACTGTTTTTTGCATGTCGTTCTTTTATGTAGACATCGAAGTAGATGAATTTCTTCCTTTTCAATGCTTGAATTTCACAGATTTGCACTCTTTTATTTTTAACAGCGTCAGCCTAAACAATGATGGTGATACACTGATCATTCTCTATTAGAGATCTCATCTACCCACATCAAACCACAACACTAAGTCTAGAGCAGTGGTAAAATCTAATTTTTTTTTACTACCGGTTCTGTGGGCATGGTTTGGTGGGCATGGTATGACTTGGTGGGTGTGGCAGGAGAAGGATACTGCAAAATCCCCATTCCCTCCCCACTTCTGGGAGAAGGATATTATAAAATCTCCATTCCCTCCCCACTCCAGGGGAAGGATACTGCAAAATCTCCATTCCCACCTCACTGTGGGGCCAGCCAGAGGTGGTATTTGCTGGTTCTCCGAACTACTCAAAATGTCCGCTACCGGTTCTCCGAACTGTTCAAAATTTCCACTACCGGTTCTCCAGAACCTGCTGGATTTCACCCCTGCTCTAGAGATTAAAACAAATTCTCTCCAGAATTCTGATTCAGTGAAATCTGGGTATTTCATTTCCAGTGGATTACGGAAAGCTAGTCAGAATGAAATGAAGCTGTCACTCTCCAGAAGGAGGGGGCTACAGGGTTAAATCGAAGTGCACTTATTCTCTAAATTTTGGATGGTTGCTGAAGGACCTTTTCTATTTTTGAATTTTTAAGTATTCAACCCACATCAATGTCAAGCTTTTCTTGATGAACAGAGATTTGGTAGTTTCTACAATCGATTTGCCTTGTGACTACCCCAGCTGAAGCTTTGTGAGATGAACTGCTAAAGATGTTTGGTATAATGTGTTCCCATTGGAGTCATTAAAAAACAAACTATTATCCCATTATCCGGTGGCAGATGCCAGTAAGAATCTTTGTGATGGAAGATTATCTAAGGCTTGGTGAATGTAGTCCATGCCTAACAGTGTTTCCCATGTGTAAGGCCTTAAATATCTGCCTACAGAGAAGTATAAACAAATCAGATTAACATATTTGGAGTTGGAAGGGACCTTATAGGTCATCTGGTCCAACCCTCCGCTCAAGCAGGAGACCCTATGCCATTTCTGACAAATGGCAGTCCAATCTTTTCTTGAAAGTCTCAAGTGATGGAGCTCCCACAACTTCCGAAGGCAAGCTGTTCCATTGGTTGATTGTTCTCACAGTCAGAAAGTGCCTCCTCATTTCTAGGTTGAATCTCTCCTTGGTCAGTTTCCATCCATTATTCCTTTCCTTCAGGTGCTTTGGAAAATAGCTTGACCCCCTCCTCTGTATGGCCTAGTGGTATCTATGGTCTAGCAGTAGGTACAAATGGGGAATGCTATGAGTTCAAGTCACACCTCAGACATAAAAGCCATTTTGGTAGCTTTGAGCCCAGCACTCTCTCTCAGTCTAACCCACCTCACAGGTTTGTTGTTGTGGAGCAAATAAGAAGAGGAAAGTTGTTGGATATGTTTGCCGACTTGAATTATTTGTAAAAAAATAATAATAAGAGGCACGACACAAATAAATAAACAGATAAAAATATTTTTTCCTGGCTTACCTCTTTGCAAGAGAGAAAAAGTACAAAGTGACCCTCAAAGAAAGGAACCAAAATAATTTCAATGGGGATAAGATTCCTAGAACATAACGCCATTTGCCAGCAGACTAATTTGACGTGTAAGAAGTGATAAGATGAGGCTCATTCCTGTTTCAGCCTATTAGTACTCACTCAGTATTACATCTGACTCACATTCTGACCTGATTTCTTGCCAATTCCCTGTGGCATCAAACCCTGAGCTTCAGAACTCTGCGGCATGTTCTTAAGATCTCGGTTCTTTTGAAAAGATAGCGAGAATATTCAGTGCCTGCCAATGCTATTTACATTATATTACAGCACGAATGTTAGCAGGTCAAAAATCCAAGTAAATTATTTACAGAAAAAGAAAAACCCACATTCTGCAGAGAAAACTGTCAACTCAGTAACACCGAGGATTTGGTTCCCATTTATATTCTAGCCTCGTTTACACCATTCTGACAGTCTGGAGAAGATTTGCCAGGAATGTAAGTTAACAACATCCTGTTCTAGGTCTTTTTGCACAGCTAGAATAATGAGAAGGACCAAGATCTTAGATTCCTAACCCCCCACACACACACAAAATACAGGCAAGACAATAACCTCCCACATGGTATTACAGGACATACTGTAATGTCTCTTTGCATTTGTTCTTGCAAGTTTAGTTTAGGAATGGAGAGGTATCGTTCAAAGCTATCTGTGACTTAGATAAGCAGGAGATTCTAGATTCTTTTACTTATTGAAATTACTGTTAGGGTCAAAGGCGACCTGTCAGAAAAGACAGCTGTTTTGAAATGCAATCATACCTTCTACTCTTCTTGTTCTCAGGTTTGGCTTACGATCACTCATTCACACTCAGAATACACTTCAGCAGAATACATGTAGTCCTCGACTTACCACAGTTCATTTAGTGACCGTTCAAAGTTACAACGGCACTGAAAAAAGTGACTTTTGAGTTTTGACCATTTTTAAAACTTACGACCTTTGTAGCATCCTCATGATCATCATGCGATCAAAATTCAGGTGCTTGACAACTGGTTGACACTTAGGACCGTTGCTGTGTCTCAGGGTCACGGGATCCCCTTTTGCCGTCTTTCGACAAGCAAAATCAATGGGGAAGACAGATTCGCTTAACAACTGGGTTACTAACTTATCAACCACAGTGATTCACTTAACAACTGTGGCAAGAAAGGTCGTAAAATGAGGCACAACTCAATTAACAAAGGTCTCACCTAACAACAGAAATTTTGGTTTCAGTTGTGGTTGTAAGTCGAACACTGATTGTACTGAGGCATAACCGGTTCTTTAGAATACACAGAGACCCACTGAATTTAAAATAACAGCAAAACTTTATTGGTTACAATATATATATTTGCTCTTTCTAAGGAAGTGCATGTATACGTGCGCGTCAGGGGTGAAATGCTATCGGTTCGCACCGGTTCGGGCGAACCAGTAGCGATGGCGGCGGGTAGTAGTTTGGAGAACTGGAAGCGGCAGCAGCATAAGGCTCTGCCCACCCACCCGGATGTCATTACTTCCTGGTTTTAACCAGGAAGTAAACTGTTTTTTTACCCTCTGTGCATGCACAGAAGGCTTTGCGCATGTGCAGAGGGTCCAAAATTGCACGTGACATGCGCATGCACTTCCGAACTGGTAGGGAGGGTAAGTAGATTTCACCCCTGATGCACACACACACACACACACACACACACACAGTCATCCATGCTTATCCACATCCTTCTCAACTAGGCTACCAAGTACTCAACAGAGGGATGGAAGCCACCATGTCTAGATCCAAAGATGACTCTCAAACCATGGGTGGCTTTGGGACCTCTTTTATTTCCCAGAGTCCTTGCATTGTTAATTTGCAAGACTAGCAGCTACTCTTGCTTCGTTGATTTTCAAGTCTGGTCACTGTTGATTGCATTTGGGGAATAGTTGCCCAGGTGTCTGGTGCAGATGGCATTTTTCCTTCATTTCCTTAACAACTTAGTTCCTTTTTTTTTTTTTTGATTTAGAGCCTTGGTAGTACAGCGGTCTAAAGCACCCTGTTATTAAGACCAGCTGCCTGCAATTACTGCAGGTTTGAATCTCGCCAAGGCTCAAGGTTGACTCAGCCTTCAATCCTTTCTAAGGTAGGTAAATTGAGGAGCCAGTTGTGGGGGCAATAAGCTGACTTTGTAAAAATATACAAAAGGATGAAGGCTATTGCTTAGCACATTGTAAGCCGCCCTGAGTCTCCGGAGAAGGGCGGCATATAAATCAAATTAAAAAAAAAATGCCGCCCTTCTCCGGAGACTCAGGGTGGCTTACAATGCGTTAAGCAATAGCCTTCATACTTTTGTATATTTTATACAAAGTCAGCTTATTGCCCCCACAATCTGGGTCCTCATTTTACCTACCTTAGAAAGGATGGAAGGCTGAGTCAACCTTGAGCCTGGTGAGATTTGAACTTGCAGTAATTGCAAGCAGCAGATGTTAATAACAGTGCTTTAGTCTGCTGCGCTACCAGGGCTCCTTCTTATCTGGCTTATCTGCTTACAAGCCTGCTTCGTCTTTAGCAATGGCGGCTTCAGCCTAGTCTCACAGCTGCTCATTCCATAATAGCAAGTATAAAATGGGCTGCCTTGGTGCCTACCAAATATTTGAGAATACATATAGGCAGCTCTTGATTTACAACTGTTCAGCAACTGTTTGAAGTTACAATGGCATTGAATGATGGTTACTGCCAGTCTTTGGCTTCTCACACATCCTTGTTTTATGATCACATCAGTTAATGATAGAAATTCTGGTCCCAATTGCCATTGTAAGTTGAGAACTACCTGTACCTTTCACTATTTGTCATATTGGAGAGTGTGATGTTGCCTACTTGTAGATTAATACAATAACTACACAGGATAGTATACTGAAAGAAAAGGAATGTCCATCTCATAAAGTATGGTACATAGTGTCAGAGTCCAATCAGACTACATTGGTATTTGAGAATGAAAATCTCACAAGTACCGTTTTCACTCTTGGGCCTCTTCATCCTCGTCCTCGTCCTCGTCCTCGTCCTCCTCCTCCTGATCATCATCTGTGGTTTTGTGAAAAAGATAATGTGTCTGCGTGGTTCTATAGCTGCTAGAATCCATTGCAAGTTTCATATATTATCCTGGAGCAATGTATAGTTCTAAACTCTAAATCTTTTCAACTGATGCGTCCAGATGTGTTAGA